GACTGATATGACATTGTCTGGCCATGTTTGTCTTTGTTCATGAATAAATTAATACTAATCTATCTCTCTGCCTGCCCTTCAACTCCCAAAAAGCAAAGCTGTAAGAGAGGGGATTTCTACATGGTGCATGGTTGCATAAGTCAGCATCTTTTCCTTATCTGGAAAGCATGAAAAAGCAAATTGAGAATTAAAATTAAAACTCCTTTCCACTTGGAAATGTTATTTTTAAAATTCTCTCTTTTAAAAACACTTGGATCAGAAAAGTAATCTAAACTGCAAATTGTTGAAGAAAAAAATAAGGAAAATATCTCATTTAAGAGCCAAAGGGGGAGCCTATGGTATACATTTCAGAGTAAATTCCTAGTGTAAATACTTGTATGAATATAAGATAAATAGTAAAATAAACATCTGACTCAAGAGTTCTTCTCAAATTCAATAAAGACAGAAAGAAAAAGTAAAAGAAGATCTGAAAAGAGACAAAAAAAAATTTAAAGTAGAATATATAACTAATTATAAAATCTGATTCCTCACCGAAACCAGTTTGGCTCAGTGGATAGAGTGTCGGCCTGTGGACTGAAAGGTCCCGGGTTCGATTCCGGTCAAGGGCATGTACCTTGGTTGCGGGCACATCCCAGTAGGAGATGTGCAGGAGGTGGCTGATCAATGTTTCTCTCTCGATGTTTCTAACTCTCTGTCTCTCCCTTCCTCTCTGTGAAAAATCAATAAAATATTTTTTTTAAAAATCTGATTCCTTGAATAAAATGAAAGATAACTAACTAACTTAACTAAAAAAGTAAGAAAACAAGGGAGATAACGTTATTACTCAAAATGGGAAATTATAAAAGGGAAACCACAGAAGCAGGGAAAATTGAATACCTTGTAAGGGAATAACTTGCTCAACTCGGAAAATCAATTTAAAAGCATGAATGAAATGCACACTCTTCTAAAGACAGTATATTTTGTAGAAACTGAACCTGGAAGAGATAGAAAATCTAAACAGACAAATGATCATAGGAGAATTAGAATTAGAAAACTGCCAAAGAAATGCCATGCCCATGTGGCCCCAGAAAAGCACATAGGAAATATCTTAGGGAAGCAGCTAATTCCCAGGTCACACAGATTAACTCGTCCAACTGAAGACTTGGCAGTGGCACTACACAATGTCGCATAGGCCAGTGTTGCCCGTGTGTGTCTGACTGAACCCTACTGACCTCACAGATTAGAGAATCCCCTCGGGACAACCATCTCAGACCATAAAAAAAGCAGAGAAGCATCTTCCTGTTCTTTTAGCTTAAGTCTTGTAAATTCATACCCACTGCTAATATCATTCCTTTTCATCAATTCACCAGATATGCATTAAGTGTTTATTCTGTGCCCAGCACCATCCTAACTAAAGCAGTGAACAGAGGCAGGGAAAATGGAAAGGAGGCTGTAACCACAAATCAGAAAAGAGATGATGGTAGTGATGACCCAAGTGCTTGCAGCGGAGGGGCTGGCAACTGGTTGGAACCAGATTATGCCATAAAAATCTTTCTAAAGTCAAAACAATATATAGGCATATGGGGTAGAGGCTCAAGGATTAATCATCTAATAGGGTTTTCAAGATCAGTGAAAGATCCTGGTCAAGGACAATCAAAAACAATATTAAGAGCATCTTTTATCCATAACAATATGAATGAAGAGGAGAGAAAGTTATCTTAATGAAGCCCTAAGTCCTATGAATGGAGATTTAAAATAATATATTACTGTTCATAGTCTAGAAATCAATTAAAATTAAACTTGATCGGATTGGTCATTGTGCTTATTGCCTGTTTTGACAATGAGGTTCCTTTTTTTAATTCAAGTTCATAAACTATTTTGAAATGCATGACAATTATTTCCAGAATGCAGAACTGCTTAAAGGTCATAAGTATTACTCCAAAGAGTTACTGAGTGTCCAGCAGAAAAGAAAGAGGAAATAGTTTCCCAGTTATTGGTGCTATGGTTGTCTATTGGTCAGAGTGGGAGAAGGGTGGTGTTTAAGTTATGATTCATTATAGAATTTTAAAAAGCTATCTGCTAATCAAATCACAGAACAAGGGAAAGGGCCTGGAGCAGAAACCTAGTCCACTGACCACTGAATAAAACCCTGATGAAGTAGTCCAGAAGACCAGTTTTTAAACACTTTTCTGAAGGTGAATAAGAACCATGTGGCCTTTCACTACCAAGACCTGGCTGATGAAAATGATGTTGGCTCCATGAGGACTGGCTTTGCCATCTTGCTCATTGCTGTATGCCTGGCACAATGCCTGGCATACAGCACATCCTCAGTAAACATCAACTAAAGGAATACATGGCCGAATCTTCTTTGACATCAGTCTATCACTTTATGGAATGAATATTACAAATGAAGAACAATACATAGTGATTTTATAATAGGTATCAGGGCCTGAGGTCAGCCAGACCTGAATTCACCCCTCACTCTGTCATTACATGGGCTATAGAGCCTGGTCAGTTTCTCTTAGCCTCTCTATATTTCAGTTTTTTTATCAGTAATATCAGGGTAATAATAACAACCTCCTGGGCTTGTTGTGACGATTATCTAAGACTAGAGGCCCAGTGCACGAAATTTGTGCACAGGAGGGCGGGGGGAGGGGGTTCCTCAGCCTGGTCTGCACTCTCTCACAATCCAGGATCCCTGCAGGATCTGGCCTAAACTACCTAAACTGGCAGTTGGACATCCCTCTCGCAATCTGGGACCACTGGCTCCTAACTGCTTGCCTGCCTGACTGCCTGACCGCCCCTAACCACTCTGCCTGCCTGCCTGATCACCCCTAACCACTCTGCCTGCCTGCCTGATGGCCCCTAACCACTCTGCCTGCCTGATCACCCCTAACTGCTCGCCTGTCTGCTTGATCGCCCCTAACCACCTCTGCCTTGGCTTGATCGCCCCTAACCACCTGGAATGATGTCCAAAATGACATCTGGAAGGTCATTTGGCTGTCTAATTAGCATATTATGCTTTTATTATTATAGATAATGCATGGAAAGAAATTAATCCAGTGCTCCATAATTTTATTAACTTACTATTGACAATACAATGGCATTTAAAATCATCAAAAGGAGTTTTATAAAGATGGCATCTTTATAAACTTGTATTTTTCTTTTGTTATGAAAATTTCCAAATATTATATATATATATATACACACACACACACACACAAATAGAAAGCATAATGAACTTCCATGTACTCAATACCCAGTTTCAACAATTATCAGCTCACAGCCCACTTCCCCAACCTCTTAGATTGTTTTGAAGCAAATCCCAAACATCATTCATATTATCTGTAATACTTCTATATGCATCTCTAAAAATAACAACAAAAAGTTATAACCCAAATCCCATATCACACTTAAAAATAATCAATAATGAACCATTAATTAGATGAATTATTGGCCCGCTGGAAGCCACAAGGAGAAAAGAGGAAGAGAATAAAGTCTGTCCAAGGCCAAAGTTTAGGCAAGTTCTCTCCAAACCAACACAATGGAGGAATCCACTCTCACTGTCAAGGTGGACTCTTCCTACTGAGGGTTGGGGACGGGAGAGGGGAAGTGGGTTGGGGAGGGGAAGGGACAGAGGGGGACAGCTAGGGAATGAGTTTGAAGCCAGCATTTCATGGCTGGACCAAAGAAGAGCAGGGGTCCCCCATTTTCTTTAATGTTTTTACTTCCCAAAGCAAATGTCATTTCACTTGAAACAATTCTGTAAAATTCTTCTGCTTCCAAATTGGTAGAATTTTATAATTTAATTTTATCTTTTCATCTACTTTGAGGCATTGCTGTCAGTGTTGGCTTTTAATGCAGGTATGATATCACACAGTTAGAGAGCTCACTGAATGCTCACAGAACTGGTTAGGTTTCTGAAATTTAACATAGCACAAAAGTTCACACATTTGAGAGAATTCAGGTTTTAATATAGTCTATGCTTTCTTCCCTTTCCCTCCTAATTTCCCTTTATTTGTTCTACAAAGTCAGTAACCCAGCAGAAACCCCAATTTTATTCTCTGCTGCTCTGCTTTTTAAACTTTGAATTCAAATATTTTTCTTTTTTTCTTAACTGGAATTTGGAGCAATTTGATTGCTTCAAAACAAGAGATATTGGTGTTTAAATTATTGAACATCAATAGTATAAATCCAGCTCTGCCAGTGTGGCTCAGTGGATTGAGCATCATCCCATGAACCAAGAGGTCACCAGTTCAATTTCAGGTCAGGGCACATGCCCAGGTTTCAGGCTCTATCCCCAGTAGGGGGTGTGTAGGAGGCAGCCAATCGATGTTTCTCACATTGATGTTTCTATCTCTCCCTTTCTCTCTATAAAAAATCAATAAAAACATATTTAAAAAAAAATAGTGCAAACTCACATAATCATCCCCCCTTTAAATACCAACATTTTTGCAAAGTCTAGAGTTCAGAGGATAATGTCAGCCAGTGAGTGAAGGATGATGCTGAGAAGACTAGAAGACAAGGAGCACCAAGAAGGTGCAAAGGGAACGAATCTATTATGTGATGCAAATTCCCTTTTTGGAGAGCTAAGTTAGCTTATAAGCAATAGAAATTTAACTTGAAGAAGGAGACAAGGAGTGTAGATTCAGAAGTGTGACAGTGTGGAAGCACTGGAAAAGCTGGTGTTGTTACCCCAATCGGTAACAGTGTTATCCTCACACTAGAGGCCCAGTGCACAAATTCGTGCATAGGTGGGGTCCGGCTGGCCCAGCCCAATGGGGGCCATCAGGCTGGGCCAGTGTGGGGGAAGGGGACACAGGAGGTTGGTCAGCTGGCCCCATCCCCCATTGGGGTAAGGGGGGCTGATTGGGGCCGGGCCGGCCGCGGGAGAGGGGGTGGCGTTGGAGGTCAGTCGGCCCTGCCCCTGATCAGGGTGAAGGGGGCCGATTGGGGCCGGCCATGGGGAGGGGCCGCAGGTGGTTGGGGGAGCCGATCAGGCCAGTTGGCCACTGCAGTGTGTGTCATAGCAACCGGTCGTTCCGGTCACTTGGCTTTTATATATATAGATACTGCAGTGTCTGCTTTCTCTTTTAGAAGTTGGCTTTGGGAAGGTAGGGGCTGCAGCCTTGCTTCTGAGAACAATGCTTAGCACATGACAGTGCAGTAAATACATGTTAAATTATTGAATGAATGAAAGAACAAACAAATGAATGAGTACTGCTCAGCAACCATCACTATTACTTACTAAACAGACCATTCCACCAAGAACTTGAAACTACATAAAAGGAAAAGGAAGCCAGAATCTATTTCCTCTTTTAAGCCTCTTAAAAAAAAAAACACCTTTGACTTTTTTGTGCTTTAATTTAGTGTCTCTAAAAACATGTGATAAAAATTGTTTGGGCAAGAAAGATGACATAATAAACCATGGACAAGGAACAGATAACCTAGTTCAATCAAATTTCCAAAAAGATCTAATGTAGCTCAAAATGATTTCTCCAGATTCACTTTTAAAGACTCATTCGGTTTGACTTACTCAGAAATCACTCAAAATATCAGATTCATAAGAACTGAGGTTGGGAATAGAAAGGAACAGGCATTACTTGAGTGGGGATCAGACCAACGAGTATGGCAGGAGCGTGGCAGGGAGCCAGAGGGTGTGGAGGGTACGAGATGTACCAAGAAGTTTACTCAGAGAGCTTCCAATAAGGGAGGAAAAGGAAAAACAGTCAGAGACCCCACCTGCTTTGAACCACTGCCAGGGGCTCTGATAGCTGTAACTGCCAAGCACATCACTCAAACTCACGCCCACTATAAGCTTCTTTGCCTCCAGGGCCCAAGTTCCTTTAAGATTTCATGAGTGGCTCCATTCACTCACCTGCGAGCACCTTGCACAATTCCTGCCCTACCCTGCCCTCCAGTCCGCCAATCCTCAGTGAATTTTTTTCCCTTTTCACAGTTAATGAAGCCTCAATCCCTACAAAATTGAGCTTCCCCATCAAAGTGACTTACAGCAAATGTGTTTTGAAGCAATTCTTTACTTGCATAATTTCCCTAATAAAACGCATTCACGGAACCACTGTTAAACTCAGAAGAGGGTGCTCTGCATGAGGATTCCAATTTCCTCTTCTGATCAGAGCTGTGCTCTCATTCAGGGGATCGCTGGTTGCCTGACCAGTCACACGCGCAACCATGACGCCTAAACATTGCCTTCTAGGCTTCCTCGTCACTCTCTTCCTGACTGGTGCTGCAGGTAAGTGCTTCATTTCTTTCTAATTGCTCACAGTTTTGTCATCTGAGTGTGCTTGAGGGATTATTAGAAATGGCAATGCTGCTTTTCCGGGCTTTGTAAAAATTCCAGCTTTCTTCTGTCTTGAAATAATCAGAACAGATGTGGGGTCAGTTTTTATCTGCAACCTGAATAACTAACTCCACGTGGACTTATTGAGTAGCTACTCTAGTGGGTGCAAAATTCATACAGGACCAACGCACATCCACCTCTGTCTCCTTAGCATTTCTTTTGCCTTCAGGGGACATGACAGCTTAGTGGGTAGAAAAAGTCTTCTAAGCCAGATTGTCTGAGTCTGGATTTCAGCTCTGCCATTTACTCTTTAGGAAGACTTGGGCAATTGACTTAACGTTCCCATGCCTCAATGTCTTCATCTGTAGAATGGGAATTGTACGTATTGTGAGGATTAAATGAATTAATATATGCCAAGTGCTTGGAGCAATGCCTGGCACAGAATAGAGACAGTAAAGAACATGTGCGAATTTGCTCTCGGTATTCACAGAGAACTCTTCCAGAGCAGAAACCATCATCACCCCAACATACCTCTGAGCAAGGCCATTAGGACCCCCAGTTAACAGATGGGTACCTCTCAATGTGAGTGACTCAAGTAAATTTCCCAAAACTACACAGTTGCCCAGTGACTGATTATATAAAAACAGTTCAAGCCTCCATCTCCCAGAAATGTGTGCAATTGTGTAGACTATGCCTTTGCTCCTTGTAACACCAAGGACTAACTTAGCAAAATATGGCAGGAATTCAGTGCTACCCAAATGATCCTGGCTCTGCATCTTACCGGGTCTGTAACCTTGGGCAAGATAGGCAACTTCTTTAAGTCTCTGCTTCCCTACTGTAAATATAGTAATAAAAATACCTGCTTTATTTGGTGATTTGGGAATGAAATAAGATGTAAAGCTTTGGGCACCGTGCCTGATACATGTTTAATGTTCATAGACATTCATGTTCAATGAATGTCAGCTGGGAAGAGGAAGGGTAGGAGGAGGAGGAGGAATATCTCCAGCCTGTTGTTGTTTGGTTTTCTCCATTAGCTCTTCTCTCCTGAGGCTTTGTACTTGGTTTTCCATGGTGACAGGCAGGCTCTGGAGTTTGCTGCTGCACAAGTTCCTTCTGCTCAACAAGGCTTAGTTTTTTAGTCTGTGAGAGGAAGATGACAATAGTCCACTTTTCATAGAAAAGTGGGGCAGATTAAATGAGTTAATGCAGATAAAAGCCCCTCAGTGTCTGGTACAGAGTGATTTGCTATTATTTTGATGATTGTCTTACAAAAATTAGAGAAGAAATCCACAGACAGATAAGCGAACCCAAATCATCTATCTTCAGGGCAGCAAATCAACTCCAGGCAAGGGCTTCAGGACTCTGCCTGTCATCTCCCAAAAACTCAGGGGAGTTTTATGTACTAAATATGAGTGATTACGCAGCATTTTAGTGAGCAAAATTAATGGTGGCAATAGATTCTTTCCAAGTACACACCACCATTTGATGCACTGAAGGAGGTCAAAAAAATAAAAACACCCCCTCCCCCTTAATAAGAGTATTAACACTATTTGGGTGGTAAAAATAAACAAACATTAGAAAATAACACATCTTGAATGTTCAGAGCTGAGATTATGGGTTTAGGATTACTTGCTTCCACCTCAATGATATTTGAGCAAAGACTTGATGTATGTGGAAATCCAGGGAGGAGCAGTCAGGAAAAGAGAAAGACCTTCAGTGGGGACCACACCCACAGGTGGAGCAGGAGAAAGAAAATGAGGTCAGAGAAAATAGGGGCTACGCTTCCTGACTCCTCCATCTGCCCAACTTCCTAGCCCAGTGGTCGGCAAACTCATTAGTCAACAAAGCCAAATATCATCAGTACAACGATTGAAATTTCTTTTGAGAGCCAAATTTTTTAAACTTAAACTATATGGTAGATACATTGTTATTAACTTAATTAGGGTACTCCTAAGCTGGCCTTTGCTAAAAACGTCCTCAATCTGATTGAGGTACGTTCGCTGAGGTCAACCCTTTCCAACTCTCCTATCCACACTCGTCTTGTATACTTGTTTCGCCTATCTCCTTTCCGAAAACCGACTTCTGCGTATGGGCCACGAAGTTTCAATCGCACTGTACGTGCGCGCCCGCACCTGGAGTTTTGTGGAAGGGCCACACTCAAGAGGCCAAAGAGCCGCATGTGGCTCGCGAGCCACGGTTTGCCGACCACTGTCCTAGCCCTTTTCAGAAACCTTGAACCTGGAGTTTTGTGGAAGGGCCACACTCAAGAGGCCAAAGAGCCGCATGTGGCTCGCGAGCCACGGTTTGCCGACCACTGTCCTAGCCCTTTTCAGAAACCTTGAACCTGCTCAGGAGGTGAAGCTCTTCCTCTGCCCATCTTAGTTTCATAGCTCTTTAATAGAAAGAAAGATTAACAAGAGAAAAACAGCTTATTAATGCATACAGAGCATATCACAAATGAGAAACCTAAACAGAGTACCGCAAAACGGTGGGTTAGAATTCGAGCTTATGTAGCATCTTCAGCAAAAAAATAAATAAAAATACATTTGTAGAGACATGGCAGGACAAATGAAAGCAATTTTAGGCTTGCAAGGGTGGGAAACTATGGAAAAGTAAATATATGAGAGGAAACTAATGGAGTGCGATTTGTTGGCAGATTCTTCTGGTGCCATCTCTGGGCGGGTAAGAGTCAGTCTCGGTAAAAGAAGAATTTATAGACTGCCTTTAGTCAGAAAAAGCGGCCGGGGGGGGGGGGGGGCTTTTCCTGCCTGCATTGCTTACTTGCTTTCAGCTCAAAATAAGTTTTTTATGTCAAAAGAGGCATATTTTGGGGTGACACATTCTGGCTTTCTTCAGACTCTAGAATAAAATATTGTCAAAGGTCTCTTGCCTCCATGGGACTAAGAACAGGCGAGACTGCACCACCCATGTCACATGACCTGAGGTGGAAAGTACAAGCCATGTCAGGGCAAAGTTATCCTTTCCTGCCATGGTTGCTGTTGAGAGCCTTCTCAGGGACACTGGGCCCATGGCAGGGTCTTGGGCGGTCTCCCTTCATAGCATGGGCCAGTTTAGCTGAGCACTTACACTTGAAGCCAGGACGCAGGCCAATCAGTGCAGACCTTCAGGAGTGGGACAGCAAAGCCGGCCTACCTGGAATATAGGTGGGTCCTCTGGGAGAGGTGGAGGACACTGAGGCAGGACCCAGAGATTGAGCAAGAACCTGAGAAAGGAAGAACTGAGTGCTGGGCTGAGGTCCTAGAGCCAAAATTGATCCAAGGCAAAATGTTCTATCAGAGGAGCCGTAATACAGGGCTCCTAAGAAGGTGGGAGAGTGGCCTTGGCATGGGTCTTTCATCTCAGTCCTTACATTCCATGACCCTCAGGGAAGGGACTAAGGACAGTATTTACCCACTGCTCTTTACTTCCTCTACGGTTTGGGAATGGGATGGGAGGATATCAGTTAGGTGTTGATAGTCTGAAACACAATGGTCCTGAAACTTCAGCATGCATAAAAATCATCACATCAAAGATTCAAAATGATGATTTCTGGGCTCCACTTCCATTATCTGCACTGACAGCAACTTCTTTAGGGAATCCCACCTCAGGTATTACCTTGAAAACTACATTAATAACAATGGTGCGTGCCCTAACCAGTTTGGCTCAGTGGATAGAGCATCGACCTGTGGACTGAAGGGTCCCAGGTTCGATTCTGGTCAAGGGCATGTACCTTGGTTGCGGGCACATCCCCAGTAGGTGTGCAGGAGGCAGCTGATCGATGTTTCTCTCTCATCGATGTTTCTAACTCTCTATCCCTCTCCTCTCTGTAAAAAATCAATTAAATATATTTAAAAAATAACAATGGTGCGCATATTAATAATGTTCAGTGTTTTCCCTTCTCTATTATTTTAGAAACTCATCCAGCCCATGAGTCTCTGAAGCCTCAGAGAGTACATTTTCAGTCCCGGAACTTTCACAACGTTTTGCACTGGCAGCCTGGGAGGGCTTCTGCCAGCAGCAGCAGTATCTACTTTGTACAATATAAAATGTAAGTGATTTGAGCTTCCTCCAACTGATAGACATGGCCACGGGGAGAACATTTTCTAGAATTGCAATGGAATGTAAGAATCTGAGCATTATTTCAGTGTCAGAGAGACTGAGAAAAAGCAGAGGTAAGGGACAGGATTGTCTTGTCTCCCCTGAAGGCCGCCTGGTGACACAAAATGGATGATGTGGTGCAAAATGCTGGGGACATATGTCATCCCGTAAAAACCAGCACCAAGACCTTGCAGGCTCAGCCTTTGGCGTCACAGCAGTCTGGCACACAGTGGGCACTCAAATAACTATTTGTCAAGCGAGTGTTGGAAACAGCTTGCTTAGCATACAGCAGTCACTTCACTAAGTTGACACTATTCATACTGAAAAAGAAGTTGTGGGTCACATGGAGGTCAGTGTGTGAAATATATTTTTAATGTAAAAGTCATTTTTTAGAGTGTGTTTGCTATTTAGAAAATGCATTTCAAAAATTAATGACTCCTGTAAGCATGAACACGAATTGGAACGTGCTGCTGCATGTTCCTCTCGTGTGAGCTTCAAGCTAGTTCTGCGGGATCGTTGCCAAACCTCAGATAGGATCAGCTCCTTTCCTGGACCGAGGCCTGGAACAGAGGTTCCTGATTTGCACATGGCAGGTTTCCCACTCAAGCATTTCCTGGGGGTATTTTTGAGGCTCTTTCCTCTCTTACATAGTTTGCAGTGCTGACTGAGCGTGAGACAGGAAATACGACCCTTTATTTTGAAGGTTTTTCATCATAAATTTAGAAACCAGGTGTAGCTCTGGACCAAAATAACAATTTTTATTCCGTAAATTCATGTCTCTCCAGCATGGAGTAGGTCCAAGGTCCAATGTTTCCACTCATTAACCTCTCACTAACTTCAGAAGAAATATTTCTGGAATTTTTTCAGTCTGTAACTACCGCAGCTTTTCTTACATTTGGGTAAAATTTACAAAGCTTTACTATAAAGATTCCTCCATTTCAAAAACAGATGAGTAGCTGGAGATGCTTCCAGCATGTAGGGAGTTGGGAGGAGTGTTCTTGCCCTTCCTCCTTAGGCAGTATAAACAGGTCCAAAGTGGGCCTATTTGTGGTCCAATATAAAAGGTGGATTAGGAGTTCTTTTATCATGATACTAATGAAGGTTAAACTTAAAGGCAACATAGAAGAATTTTATATTTGTAATTCTTTTTCTTAACGAAGGCTCCCAAACGTGTATAAAATTCAGACTACCTGGATCCCTTCTTAGCTCTGTGGTATTTTCAACAGCACAATGCAGATTTATATTTTTGAAATCATTCCTTTTGGTTCTATCCAGTTCACATGGGTCTATAAGTGATATCTGTCCCATTTGGGGTAGGACAAAAAATAAGGTATCACATTAATAGAGAGGCCAGTCATTACAGCTAAATTCAGCGAGCAAAGACAATTTCTCATCAATAAATAACAATTAAAAAACATTAAATCGTGCTTAATCTATGATGTTGGTTCTTTTTTTTTATGGTATCTTCTGATATAGTGAAGCTGCTGTCATATAGTTTACAAAGTAAAGATATCAGCAACATTCCTATGGCTAGAAAGTCACAGATTTCAAGTCCTTCAACAAATACGGTGAAGCCTTTCTCCTGGCCTCTAATTCGTGCTCTGCTCCCACTGTTGTCTTATTGCATTTTCTCTGATTTATGACGGGTAAGGAAGTAAGCACTGATCTTCCCCTTTGCTGTTACACCATCCCCTAGTCTCAGGATGAATCAGCCTATCTGTCTCTGCCTTGCTACCTTTTGAACAATTTTATGGCTACCCCTCTCTCTTTTCCAGCTCCTCACATAGCACTCACTACAACCCCCACTCTATTTCCAATAAAGAAATTGGTATGTGCTGGGTAAGCATCACCTGAGATAAAAAGTAGTAGCAAATTCTCAGAATCAGCCACATTACTCAACAGCAAGCTGATGAGAAGTGAAGAAAACCACAGAGTTGAATCCTCAGAAGCATTAAGGATGTGGAGAGCCAGTTCTCAAAAATAAAAGTTGGTCCATAGACCAGAAGAAAAACTTCACAAAGTATGTTTAATAAAACAAGCTCTAGGTTAGTGATACAGAAGGTGTCAGGCTTGAGTTTATGTTTTATCAAGAGAATACTTTGGTTGACAAGAAGAAATCTTTTTAAGGATACTTAAGAGTAGCCATAAGCCTTTATAGTAGTACTGATATTGGAGAACAATTTCCAACCAGTCTAAAATATTAATAGACTGAGAAAACTGCGCACTCCTTCAACAGAAAGAAGACACTCAAATTTGTCTTTTCCCTTTTATAGCTATGGACAGAGACAATGGAAAAATAAAGAGGACTGTTGGGGTATTCCGGAATTATTTTGTGACCTTACCAATGAAACTTCAGATGTTCAGGAGGCTTATTACGGAAGGGTGAAGACGGCTGTGGCTGGGACCCACTCGGCCTGGACCATGACACGGCGGTTCACTCCCTGGTGGGAAAGTGAGTCCATGGAGTTTCTTTGCATTTGCTTTTCCTGCCCTTGAGTAGCCTTCCTAGAGTATGTCTAGTTGCGAGGCCCTGTGCTTTGCAGAGGTCCACACCATCATCTCACTTGATCAAATACTCAGAACAACACCAGAAGATGGCGGTCACTACCCTTACTTCACAGCCCAGGAAATCAAGGCACGGAGGCTTCAGTAGTTGCTCAGCCTTGTATAACCAGATCAGGATTCAAATTCTGCTGCATCTGACTGCAGAGTCGACACTCTGTCGCTCTGCCAGATTGTTACCTCCTAGGTAATAATAATTAAAAAAAGAGTTTTAGATAGCAGAAAAGAGTTGTACCACCCTAGACCCCTCCTAATAATGGGGGTTAAATTCCTGAAAATACTCATTAGAAGAATTTTCTGTTGAGGAAATTAAGACTTTTGCTACCTCCCCAAAGGGGAGACAAAAAGTTCGCTCTCTTATCCATATCTCCATGATGTATATTCTTTTCCTAATTTAATCATAATCCAAGAATAATATTATAATCAAATATGTAAATTATGAAATAAATCATTACCAACAGACCTTATATAAAGGAGTAGACAAAGGGGAAAGAAAAAAGAGTGTTTAATGCATATATACAAAGATATGTATAATAAAACAAGAAAGAAAATGTGTTACATATTATAGTTCTCATAATTGCAACTAGTCATGAAGCTGTAGTTAATATTTTTAATTTCTTCTCTCATTATTAATTCAATGTTCACTTTCTTTCCAGCCAGCAACTCAGCTCTTCAGTCATGAGGAGTTTGAGTTCTTTTGGTCTTTCTTGTATAAGCTAGACATAATCTTACATTCATTTTTTATCACAGAATAGAGAGTTCTAGGAGGCACCTCAAGGGATATCAGACATACTTCTCCCTGACCCCGGTGTATCTATAACAATTCTATTTCCTCTTGATAATCAGAACCAATCGTCCCAGACAACACATGGACCTTATTTTCGCCTTGTTGGTTAAATGGCACCAAGAGCTTCAAACAGTTAGGAGGCAGCCTTAACTTTTAAGTATTGGAAACTATTGTTGTTATTATTCAGAAGGATTAAGGATCAAGTGTATGGGAAACAACCATTTCATGAGTCAGTTGCTATGAGAATTGCTTCTCCTACCACCATGTCTTGTATCTTAACCCAGTGAATTCTGTCTATGGAAGGTATAGTGCCATATATTGGTCTCAAGATTAGAGCAAATATGGATTCCTAGACAAGTTCCCAAGGTGTCGTCTCCCAAACTGAGTTTTCAATTATCCACTTTACTTCATATAAAGCCCCATCGCTGAGATAGAATATATGGTAAGGCTTCACTTCTTCCACATTAACTTAGCTCTTCTGTCATAAGCAATGTAGAGTGGGGTACCATGCTCATGCATGAGGCATTCATGATTACCTCCATGGTGGGGGGTGACCAGGGGGACTGCTGATAACTACAGCTTCTATTCCAATGCCACTTGCCCCCACCCCCATGGAAAGAGATAAAAATATCTACTATATAAAATGAATTATGTACTAGGGTTGGTTCATCTTACTGGGAAATTGGACTCAGCAGTGTCAGTCCAGCCTTGGCAAGAGGAAGTCCATATGGTTGAGTCTATAGCCTCCATCCATTTCACACAACCATTTTATTCATGAGCCTATCAAGCAAGTATGGGACACTAGGGAAGTGGGCCTTCACTGCCTGCACCTAGATTTTTAAGCAGCTTTATTGAGATATAATTCACACTCCTTATAACGTGTACAATTCAATTTTTTGTATATTCACAAATATGTATAACCATCATCCACACTCAATTTTAGAACATTTTCACCATCTCAAAAAGAAATTCCATACACATTGGCTATCACCATCCTATTCCTCTACTTCTCCAGCCTTTCAGCCCTACGCAACCACTAATCTACTTCTGTCTCTACAAAGTACCCTGTGCTTGGCATTTCATATGAATGGAATAATATAATATGTGGTCTTTGGTGACTGGCCTCTTTCACTTAGTATAATGTTTTCAAGGTTCTTCTTATTGCATCATATTTTAGTACTTCCTGTCTTTTTGTGACAGAATCATATTCTAGTATATGGATAGACCACACTTTGTTTATCCATTTCTCAGCTGATGAACATTTGAGTTGTTTTCCCCTGTTGGCCATTATGAATAGTGCTTCTATAGGAATTCATGTACCAGTTTTTGTGTAGACATATGTTTTTATTTCTTTGTGGCACATACCTTAGGAATGGAATTGCTGGGTTACATAGTAACTCTATGTTTAGTCATTTGAGGAACTGCCAGACTGTTTTCCAAAGCAACTGTACCATTTTACAGTTCCCTCAGCAGTGTATGAGGTTCTGATTTATCCACATTCTCAGAAACACTTACCTGACTTTTTTTTATTACAAAACATGTGGAGAATGTGGAGAAATCAAAGCTCAAAAGTTCAAAATTTCATGGGGTATTTTGAAAATGCATAGCACAAGTAAATGTGGTATGTTTCATTCATCTAGCAAGCCCAGCGAATGTTTCTTAGTAATAAGGGGTGAAAAGTAAAGCAACTTGTCCTTCACTTGAGAGGAAATGTCTCCAACAAACCGCAGAGGAAATTTAATGACAATGTTCTGCTTCTATGTATCTTACTAAAGCATCTAGAGTGCCTAGTACTTTAGGCACACCAAATGTAATCAGTATCACAAGATCAATTTAGTGGACCAACAGGATATCCTGTGAAAAGATCAATGACTGCAGATTATTTGTGACAGACAGCCAGGATGACAATGAAAGTCAAGTGAGCCTGGCCAGTATGACTTATTGGTCAGGGCACATGCCCAGGTTGTGGGCTTGATCCCCAGTAGGGGGCATGCTGGAGACAGCCTATCAATGATTCTCATCATTAATGTTTCGATCTCTCTCTCCCTCTCCCTTCCTCTCTGAAATCAATAAAAATAAAAATAAAACATTTTAGTAAAATGAAAGGAAGCCAAGTGAAAGAGAACTTTTCTGATACTTTCTAACTATTGGACAAAGGAAGGAAAAGAGTCATTCTCTAAAGTAGTAACTGTATATTAAAGGCTGTGTTGATTGGCTCCAGAACGGTTACTATAATGAGTCACACCATGGTCACCACCTGAGTGCATTTACAATTATCCCTTTTATTATTCCATCTTTTTTGGGGGGAGTGGGGGGCAAAAAAGAGGATATAATTCAAAAAAATGAGTTAAATGGGGGAAGTAATACATCTTACTACCTCTGCATCATTCAAAGTGTTTTTTAAAATATATTTTTATTGATTTCAGAGAGGAAGGGAGAGGGAGAGAGAGATAGAAGTATCTATGAGAGAGAATCATTGATTGGCTGCCTCCTGCACGCCCCCTACTGGGGATCAAGCCCGCAACCTGGGCATGTGCCCTTGACTGGAATCAAACCTGGGACCCTTCAATCCGCAAACCAAAGCTCTATCCACTGAGCCAAACCAGCTAGAGCCAAGGTGTTCCTTTGATGCACAAATCTCTGCTGTATCCCCTGGGATACAATAGTACTTTTGATTTTCAATTTTGTTCAGAGGAGGAATTCCACTGGCTTCCATTTGGCCTTTCATCCCATAATAACTTTCATGCCACAGCTCAGAAAACCAAAATGGGCATTGATCCTGTCGGTATGTATAGCTCATTGAATCTGCTTTTATTACCTGACAGCTACAAGAACCCACAGTGCATTCTGAGTCCCCAACGATTACTATCAGCTCAGAATCAGGGTCCATTATTGGCCAAATGGTCTGTACTGTGCTTATCTTTCTCCAGTTTGCAGTTACCCTCAGGGAAGTATAAAAGATGTATCTTACAACTTGCAGCATTATTACCTCACTTGCCTAATGATCTAGATGGTGCTATGTCCCATTAGAGCCAAACTAATTGGATCATGGCCAAAATGCTAGATGTTTAGTTTTCTAATTCTTCAACTAGCAGGAGCGGAATGAAAACTAAGCAAACCAATCCATGGTATCCAGCACATATTTTTTTGGAATAACTTGAAATTCAACCCCAATCCACTGCACCAACAGTTCTCTATAAAAGAGCTGACTCGGGAAAGCCTTGCCATCAAAGAAGAGAAACAACAATGAAAGGTGTATGTTACAGTTTTGACTCAGTTAGGAATCAAGAATTTTCTAAGTTCAAAAAGGTCTGAGATTCAAATATATTCAACTTTCATGTTTCAGTAAACATCAACTTGAGGTTGTACCAGGTTACAGAGCCAAATACTTAAACCAGAGTTCAAAAGTACTAGTGATGAAGGAAATAACTAATAAATAGGATTACACTAAAATTACAAACTTCTATTTTTAAAAATATACCATGAAAGTGATGAAAAGGCAACCTACAGACAGAAGATATAAACAATGCACATATTTGACAAAGGACTATGTCTAGAATGTAAAAAGAACTCGTACAAATTAATAATAAAAAGACAACAGATTAAAAATGGGCAAGAAGTTTGATCAGACTCTTCACAAAAATATCCAAATATGCAATGAACATTAAATTCCATTAGTCATCAGGAAATGTAATTTAAAAACACAAAGAATAAGTGCACACACTTACCAGAATGGCTAAAATTAAAAAATGTTAAGATAATAAAGCTAAGTGTTAGAGAGAATGTAAAGAACTGGAACTTTCATATACTGAAGGGAATATAAATTGGTGTATCCACTGTGAAAACTGGCAACATCTATCACCCAGCAAGTCTATTCTTAGTTATATTCCCAACAAAATGCATATTTCCCCAATGACATGTACAAGAATGCTCATAGCAACTTTACTCATAATATTAAAAAACTAGAAACAACCTAGTGAATAACACAATAAACTGTGATACTCATACAATTAAATACCACACAGCAACCAAAAGAACTACATATATATTATATTACTAGAGGCCCGGTGCACACAAATTTGTGCACTCGGTTGGTCCCTCAGCCCGGCCTATGCCCTCTTGCAGTCTGGGACCCCTCGGAGGATGTCCACCTGCTGGCTTAGGCCGCTTCCTGGGGGATCGGGCCCAAGTTGGCAGTTAGACATCCCTCTAGCAGCCTTGGAGCCCTTGGGGGATGTCCACTACCAGCAGGGAGCAGACCTAAGCTGCAGTCGGACATCCTTAGTGCTGCTGAGGAGGCAGGAGAGGCTCCCGCCACCACCACTGTGCTGGCAGCCATCAGCCTGGCTTGTGGCTGAGCAGAGCTCCCCTGTGGGAGTGCACTGACCACCAGGAGACAACTCCTGCATTGAGCATCTGCCCATGGTGGTCAGTGTGTGTCATAGTGACCAGTCATTCCCAGTCGTTCTGCTGTTAGGGTCAATTTGCATATTACCCTTTTATTATGTAGGATAGAGGCCTGGTGCACGGGTGGGGGCCAGCTGGTTTGCCCTGAAGGGCGTCCTGGATAAGGGTGGGGGTCCCACTGGGGTGCCTGGCCAGCCTGGGTGAGGGGCTGATGGGTGTTTGCAGGCTGGTCACACCCCCTTCAGGGTGGGGGTCCCCACTGGGGTGCCTGGCCAGCCTGGGTGAGGGGCTGAGGGCCATTTTCAGGCTGGCCAAGCCCCCCCGGGAGATGGATGGAAGCTCCCAGCGTCTCCTTTTTTTCTTTCTTTTTTTTATTCTGGGATTTATTTACCTTCTATAATTGAAACTTTGTAGCCTTGAGAGGAGCTCAGAGCTGGCCAGGGTGGGCAGGAGGGAAGCTTGGCTTCCTCCATCGCCAGGGGCAACCCAAGCCTCCTGCTCACTCCAGCTCCGTGGCCATGGCTGGCTGAAAGCAGGTATCTGGGGTTTATTTTATCTTCTATAATTGAAACTTTGTTGCTTTGAGTGGAGCTCAGAGCCGCTGTGGCAGGTGGGAAGCTTGGCTTCCTCCATCATTGGGGCAACCAAGCCTCCTGCTTGCTCCAGCTCCATGGCTGCCGACCGCCATCTTGGTTGGGTTAATTTGCATATAGTCGCTCTGATTGGCTGGTGGGCGTGGCTTAAGGAGTAGCGAAGGTGTGGTCAATTTGCATGTTTGTCTTTTATTAGTGTAGATATTATATTATATTATATTATTATATTATATTATATTATAATTATATTTGCTAGGGCTGCCATAGCAAAATACCACAGACTTGGTCTTAAACAACAGATTTATTTTCCCACAGTTCTGAAGATCAAGGTGTCAGAGGGTTGGTTTCTTCTGATACTTCTCCTTGGCTTATAGCTCGCTATCTTCTTGCTGTGTTCTCACATAGTCATCCCTCTGTGCTTGCACATGTCCACATCTTCTGATAAGGACACCAGTCATTTTGGATTAGGGCCTATCCATACCATCCATGTGATTTCATTTTACCTTAATTTCCTCTTTAAAGTCATGTCATCCCCAACTACAGTCATATTCTGAGGTACTAGGGGTTAGGACTTCAACGCATGAATTTGCGGGTAACATAATTCAGCCCATAATTTTATATATGTATATAGTAAAAGAAGCCAGGCACACAAAAAAGTATATATGACATGATTCTAAAAATTAATGTATATGTAAATAGAAGTCAGGACAATAGTGGTTATCTTCTGGGGTTAATTACTTAGAGGGAACATGGAGGCGGTTTCTGAGTGCTAGTAATGTCCTGTTTCTTGATCTGAGTGGTACCTAGACAATTTGTTGAGCTGTAGCCTTATGATTTATTTTTTGTCTAGATCTATTTTATAGGTCAATAAAAAGTTTATTTAAAATTACAAAATTCAAACCAAATCAACAAAAAGAACGTATCAACTTTTAAACGTGTGCTCACAATAAAAGCACAAGGAAGCAGATGGACAGAAGCAAGTTTGGAAGCAACAAACATTGACCCATTCAGCACTTCAAGTATTGTAATATTGAAAGCAGCTAAAATAAGTTAAATGACATAACAAAGGGAATAAAAACATAACCAATAAACAAAACTTGCCGAAACCGGTTTGGCTCAGTGGATAGAGCGTCGGCCTGCGGACTGAAAGGTCCCAGGTTCGATTCCGGTCAAGGGCATGTACCTGGGTTGCGGGCACATCCCCAGTGGGAGATGTGCAGGAGGCAGCTGATCGATGTTTCTCTCTCATCGATGTTTCTAACTCTCTATCTCTCTCCCTTCCTCTCTGTAAAAAATCAATAAAATATATTTAAAAAAAAAAATAATAAACAAAACTTTAGACTTCATTTTCCTAAACAATCACTGCATGTGGAAATGATTGATAAATGTATTCTTATAGCTGAAATAGAATCTATTAGTCTTTGAGAATAAAAAATTATCTTCAAAGATATTTCTCAGATATTTATATTTTAGGTATCAACAGTATCTCTTCATAATGATTTTTGCCAGATATCTAAATTTAATAATTATTTATTATGCATAATGTATCCATGTGGAATATTACATTTTTTAAATGACTTATCAAAATTTCCTATTCTTTCTCCAGCAAAAATAGGTCCTCCAAGCATGAATATAACCCAAGTCAATGGATCCTTGTTGGTGATTCTCCATCCTCCAAAGATACCATATAGAAACCAAAAAGGAAAAAATGTATCAATGGAAAATTACTATGAGCTAGTATACCGAGTCTTTATAATTAAAAACTCACTAGAAAAGGTAAGTTCAGATGAATAGATAAGTCTGTTTTGTTGTTGTTGTTCATTTGACTCACATTTCAGTCATAAAATATGTCTTCTCTCTTGTTATTCTATTCCTTTTCATTTTTCCTGAGATTTTTTTTTAGTTCCTTCTCACCTTCACCCTTATTGATGAGGAATTAGTGCTTGGCATTAAATTAAGAATCTGTGCATGTGTGTTTGTATATTTTCAGTCACTCAGCTTGTCTCCACTTGATCTTCCCTGCACATCTAAAGATTGGTATTAACAATATTTAATTCCATTTGACTGCCACAAATATTCATTTTTATAGACTTTGCAGATCTTGTTTTTAAGTGGCTTTTGAGTCAGAGCATTATATATTTGTGTCATTTTGCTATGATATTTTAATTCATTGTCAGTGCCTTTATTTTGATTTGGTGGTTAATTGAATGTTCCTTCTTTTGTGTGGCCTTCTAAGACAGGGTTCCTTAAGTTCTAAGGAACAGAACCCCATTCAAACTGGTTAAGTAGAAAGTAGGTTAGTGGAGGGGAGGAGTTTAATCCTATCTAATAATAGACAAACATGGTAATTAACTATACCTCCGCTGCGCTTCCCATTGGCTAATCAGCAGGATATGCAAATTAACTGCCAATAAAGATGGCGGCTGGCAGCCACGCAGCTGAAGTGAACATGAGGCTTGCTTGCTCCAGTGATGGAGGAAGCCAAGGTTCCCCGCCTGCCGCAGCCCAGCTCTGAGCTCCGGAAGCAACAATGTTTCAATTATAGAAGCTAAACAAACCCCAGATACCTGCTTTCAGCCAGCCGGGGCCTCAGAGCTTAGAGCGCCAGTGATGGCAACAGAGTTTCAATTATAGAAGCTAAACAAACCCAGATACCTGCTTTCAGCTAGCCGCGGCCTTAGAGCTGGAGTGAGCAGGACAGCAACAATGTTTCAATTATAGAAGCTAAACAAACCCCAGATACTTGCTTTCAGCCAGCCATGGCCTCAGAGCTGGAGCTGGGCCTTAGAGCTGGAGCAGGCTCTCAGCTCCAGTGACAGCTATAGAAGGTAAATAAATCTCAGAATTTAAAAAAAAAAGAAAAAAAAAAGAGGTTGGGAGCTTTCAGTCGCCTTTCAGCCTGAAAACGGCCCTCAGCCCCTCATCCAGGCTGGCCAGGCACCCCAGTGGGGACCCCTACCCGGAAGGGGGTGTGACCAGCTGCAAACAGCCATCAGCCCATCATCCAGGCTGGCCAGGCACCCAAGCGGGACCCCCACCCTGATCCAGGACACCCTCAGGGCAAACCAGCTGGCCCCCACCCGTGCACCAGGCCTCTATCCTATATAGTAAAAGGGTAATATGCAAACTGACCCTAACAGCAGAATGACTGGGAATGACTGGTCACTGTGACACACACTGACCACCAGGGGACAGATGCTCAATGCAGGAGCTGCCCCCTGGTGGTCAGTGCACTCTCACAGGGGGGAGCTCTGCTCAGCCACAAGCCAGGCTGATGGCTGCCAGTACAGCGGTGGTGGTGGGAGCCTCTCCTGCCTCCTCAGCAGCACTAAGGATGTCTAACTGCAGCTTAGGTCTGCTCCCCGCTGGCAAATGGACATCCCCCGAGGGCTGCCGGGCTGCCAGAGGGATGTCTAATTTCCATCTTAGGCCCAATCCCCCGGGGAGCAGGCCTAAGCCAGCAAGTGGTCACCCCCGAGGGGTCCCAGACTGTGAGAGGGCACAGGCCGGGCTGAGGGACCCCCTACCCCCGAGTGCACAAATTTTTGTGCACCGGGCCTCTAGTTAGGAAATAACAAGCAATCTTAGGGACAGCCAGAAGCAAGAGTAAAGTGCTGCTCAGCTTTGTAATGGCTGGGAAGGAGAAATGGAGAAGCAAGTCTTCAAGAACCCTATTCTGCCTCTCTGTGGTCACATGTTGCATGTTTACAGCTGTCTCCAAATCTACTCAATTCTCCTCACTGCACAATTTAAATTCTTGACAAAGAGACTGACCACTGGGTCAATCAGCAGCCCTCATGTAGTACCTACACAGTCACTTGACCTGCCTCTGTATTAGGCTGTGTTCCAGGACTCTGGAGAAAGAGGCTGTGTCTAGGAAGAAACCCTACAGCCCATCTACTACTGTGACCAGGAACAACTTATTAATTGTATCAAAAATAGAGCAAACCAGTGACTTACTGAAAACCATTTATCATGTCTTCTCTTTTCCCTTGTATATAGGAACGAAAGGTATATGAAGGAACTCACAGAGTGGTTGAAATTGGAGCTGTAACACCTCACACTGGTTACTGTGTAGTGGCTGAAATATATCAGCCCATGCTAGACAGAAGAAGTCAGAGAAGTGAAGAGAGATGTGTGAAATGTCCTTGAAGTGGTGTGGTGTGCTCTGCAACATGGAAATCAAAAGCTCTCTGGGAATGGGATGGCTCGTGCTTGAAGTATCTCATTGAAAATTGTTTTTATTCTTCTTAAAGCAATGTCACACTTTTGGGACTTCTTTGTTTATCCATTATTTCTTCCTTTATATTTCATTTGTAAACTGAATTTAAGGAACATGTCCACTTCCAACACATTAGAATTTAAAGACGCAGAGAATAAGGGCTCTATGAAATATAGAGCTTTACTTCTGAATGTAACATCCCTGACAACAATCTCCACTGTTCTGAAAAATGTAAGAACCAAGGAATAGTAGGAATTTAACAAACTGTTGTTGAATTAATTTTGACAAATAGCATTATAGACAAGCAACCTTTTTCACTCTCTATTGAGACAATTTGAGATAGATGTACCAACTTTTATATGAATGAATATTTTATATGAATGAATATATTCCCATATATTTCTATTTTATATAAATACTAGAGGCCTGGTGCACGACATTCATGCACTAGGGGGTGGGGGAGGGTGGTCCCTCAGTCTGGCCTGTGCCTTTTTCACAGTCTGGGAGCCCTCAGGGGTGTCCAGCAGTCGGACATCCTTAGCGCTGCAGCAGAGGCGGGAGAGGCTCCCTGGCTTCTGGCTGAGCAGTGGTCCCTCTGTGAGAGCACATTTACCACCACGGGGCAGCTCCTGCATTGAGCGTCTGCCCATTGGTGGTCGTTCTGCCAGTTTATTTGCATATCACCCTTTTATTATATAGGATATTTTTGCATACATTTATTTTCTATATAAATTATTTCCACTTAGTGAACCAATTTTTTAACCTAGGTAAATAACAATAGTACTTGCAAAGAACCTCAAGATCTCTGGAGGAATATCTAGATTAAGATTATCCACAATAACATCTAAATACTGAAGGATGTCTACTCAATACAATTTTTCTCATTTAGCACATACTCATATTAAGGTTTTCTTTTCTGTTTTTATTTTGTTTCTTAATGTTGCCTTAGAAGAATTCAACCTTATTCTCAAAATCAGGTATAATATATTTCAGCAACAAAATAAAAAAGAAACCTTAACTCCAATTTATACCGCCCTCACTAGTCTACCTTCCCGATGAAGGGTCTCTTGCCAGTTGCACATTAGGAACTCCTATGTACAAGGATCTTATGAATTACAGTTTGGAGACATGTGGGATGGCTGAGAACCAGGTGGAGATGTTGGCTTGAAGCTGAGAGCACTCAGTGGGTGACAGGTTAACTCGGGAGAGGGCCTGGTGTTGGCAGAGATCATAGGGCCAGCTAAAGCCCCCCAACAAGTTCCTAGCAGCTCCACTGCCCCCCAGTAAAGGTACGCAGCCTAAGGCTCAGTGTAATCAACAGAAAGCTGCTTTCTTCACTTTTGGCTTTATCTTACATTTTTAAGGTTGTCTTTCTTGTGAGGAGGTATATTTTGGAGAACATTTGCACAATTCCTCATGAAAATTGTTCCAAAATGTGATAAAAATATATTCAATGCTTCTGGTCACATACAGTTATACACAATGATAAATGGATTAAAAATTATTTAAAAATGTATGGAGGGAGAGAGCAAGAGACACAAGAGCTAGAGAACTGGTTCCATTGCTTTGCCCTATGGTCAGAAAAAGATGAATGTGAGCATAGACCTAGAGACAAAAAATTCCTTTACCCTATATTTTTGAATTATGCTTTTTCCTCCTTATTATCTTTTTTGCCTTTTGTGAGGGATAGGGATTGCATCTGGCGAAGAGCACTTAAGTTTGTGCAATTCAGCAGTTCTGAAGCTCGATTTAAAAACAGCTATGGTTGCCTCATGAAAGTTAATAGGTAGCAGCAAGTTTTGGGTTTATTTGTTTTGCTTTCATGCTTAGGCAAGTCACTTAGACACGCTTAGGCAAGAATGAAATACTTTGTAAAAAATAAGAATTGTCACATTCTTCGTTGTGTTAGGCATATGCGGTCATCCTATTTCAATAAATCTTTTGCTTTGCAATTTGACATATTTGTAATTTGGTTTATTTAAGAGGAGGATAAAATTGGTAAGTCTCTCAGATGAAATTAGACTTTTTAGACCCACCATACATCCAGCCATAAGGAGCAGTGTTTAGCAGGACTCCAAGCATTCAGTGATCTTGTTCTATGATCGAATGGCAATTCCACTGTTACAGTTTCTCAGGCCAAAAGCTTTGGGGCCATCTCTATCTCCATCTTTTCCCTCACATCATATATTTAATCCATCAATAAATCCTACCGGATCGAGTTTGAAAATATGACATTTCTCACAGCTACCTTATTCCCAGCCAACATCATTTCTCATCTGGATAATGGTTATGGCAATCTTACAGGTCTCCCCGCCCTGCCCTTGCCTCCCCCTAATCTAGTCTCAGCAGGGTAGCCAGGGCGAACCCTTTGAACACAAATCAGATCATGACACTCCTGTGCTCCTAGCTTTCCAGCTCATATGGATTAAAAACCCAAATCTTTATTGTGGCCTCCAAGGCACTGCATAATCTCATCCCTTTGCTCCCGATCTCTCAGACCTCATTCCCTAATTCTGGTCTGCTCACTTTACTTCAGCACATTGGCCCCTTTGCTTGGCTCTCACATACAAATGCTCTGGCCTCTGGGCCTTTGTACTGGCTGCTTTCCAGGAAGTTGTGCCCCTAGATATCCATAGGCTTGTTTTAAATTTGATTTAAAATTGCAGACTATCCCCTGCAACTCTCTCTACTCCTCATTTTTCTCCATAGCACTGAGACCACCTGACACACTACAGTTACTTGTTTATCTTGTTTATCATTTGTCCTTCCCTCTTTGACTAGAATGTAAAGGCAGGTCTGTCCCCTTTTCCCCCCACATTATCTAGAAGTGTACCAGTACATAGCAGACACTCAACATTTATTGTATAAATTGGTGAATCAAGAGGACATGGGAGGGATGAGTGAGGAGGACTGGATGGGAGGTTTTTCCTATTATTTTGCACAACCTGCTGCTGCATCTTCCTCGGCAGGTGAGTATGGAGATGCAGAGATGGAGTTGAGTGGAGACCAGATCTCGGACAATTCTGACACCAAAGCAGAGAGCTAGCTACTCCAGAATAACTGTTTCTTCCTCCAACTGAGTCTCGCTTCCTAGGCATCATTTGTTTTCCTTGCTGCTGGTCAAGCCCAGAAGTCCCGTCTCAGATTTTCTTTAAAAGGAGAGAGAGCCGAAGCCGGTTTGGCTCGGTGGATACATCCACATTGATGAGAAGGGATTTTAGAGAGTGTTCTCAAGACAGGGTTGAGGTAAGTGAAAGAAGCCATGAGAACCAGTGGGAGGTGTGCAGGAGGCAGCTGATCGATGTATCTCTCTCATTGATGTTTCTGGCTCTCTATCTCTCTCCCTTCCTCTCTGTAGGAAATCAATAGAATATATTTGAAAAAAAAATAAAAAATAAAAAAATAAAAGGAGAGAGGGACTGAAATTGGGAATGTGAAAAGGATACATCCACATTGATGAGAAGGGATTTTAGAGAGTGTTCTCAAGACAAGGTTGAGGTAAGTGAAAGAAGCCATGAGAAACTAGGATACCCTTTCTGCAGGTGAACCCACTTCACTTAGGCTTGGGTAAGTGTCTGACAGAGTGGGCTACAGAAAGAAACAAACTTCCATTGTGCTTCTGGATTTGCCAAGCATTTATACATTGAGGGTGTCCATATGATAGTGATGAGAAAAGAGGAAACATTCCAATGGACACACAAGGTTGAAAGCTTCTTCAATGTCAAATGATAAGGAAATCTGGGAAGTGGTTAAACACTGAAGGGTAACACAGGGCTACCAGAATGGCATTAACTCCCCAGAGTCTTACATTGCCCCACACTGACACAGACTGTAGCTACTGCCAACTGCTCAGAACAAGACTCTCCTAGGCGAGAGGCCTTCTTTGCCATTCTCACAGGGATTTGACACCCTCCCAGGTTCCCCTTTCATCTATATTTTGAGAAGCCAGGCTAGAATTCAGCCTGATCACAAGGAACAAGCAAATAGTGACAAATTAGCTCAGTCCAATCCTGAGGACTGGCCGTGAGATTGGGCGAAGAGATGGTTATTTCTTCAGGCACATCCCTCAGCAGGTCCAGGCTTCAGCCTGTCTGAGGTCTACACTTGCACAGACATTATTTCTTTAACCCTCAGACTTGCCCACAAAGTAGTTATGATTATCATGAAAGGTAGTCACCTATTCTATTAGATTAGCCTCAGAGAGGTTGTGACTTGTCAAGGTCAGAAACCACATCAGTCTAATGTTGTAGCTTAAGCACATTATCAGACCCTCCAGAAATTCCTCTGGGTTTTTGTACCTATGGCTGTCCCTTCAGTCCCTTAGTAAAATTCCTTTCATAAATATTAGTTTTGCCATGCTGAGTTTCGGGACTTCTTTTTCTCTTTAATGTCACTCAAGATATTGAAGGGCAAGTGTTGACCTTTGAAACAAGACAGCATAAGGGCAGGCAAATCTGACAGGACAGCTAGGCAGATGGCAGGTGGCTACTGCTTTCAGGGACAAATAGGAGCAGTGACCAACAATATGTATTTGTCCTGCATGGTTGGGAGGTCCCTAGTCACTGAAAGATCCCCTAACTCCATGCATTTATTGGCAAACATTCATTAACTGATAAGTTCTACCTCCAAGTTGCTCTGAAAGCTAGTGTCATTCATTTCTATGGTATCGTGATTTTCAAGCAAAAATTCAGAAATGTATTTTGTAACTGAACCCCCAATGTTTTCAAGGTAAACAACGACAACAACACAGCATCAGCAAAAAAACAAACAAAAAACCCTGATAAGTTGTTATCTGCTTTAGGATGAGCTCTAGACAACCTTTTTAAAATTATAAGCATTTTTAAATTTTTCCATCACACTATAGGGTTCCCTTTACTTCTGTGCCATTTACCCGGAGACATAAGTGAACTTGGAGAATAGAACAATGAATTTTCTTTTGTTTATTTTATCCTGCAAATTGAGACCGTGTTCCCTGGAAAGGAAAGTAGGCCTTTGAGTCTAAATAATGAAAAAACTCACTACACAGCCAAGTGCTCGTTGCCCAGACCGAACT